CAAAAAATTAAAAAAATAATTCTAAGCATAAAAATTTGCTCCTTAATAATTAGTAGATGTGAAAAACATTACCATTGAAATCTACCTGATGACTTTATATCCATGCTCAGATGCCAAGGAGCTCAGAAAGTAACTGACTGTGACTAGTAATAGTCAGATATATAGAGATTAGAAACACATGTTTAAACATCTTAGTGTTAATTGCATTAAAAATGAATTTTTCTGTATGAAACTGTGTATTTTAATAATGAAATGGAATCTTTTTTAAAGGTTAAAACCTCATTTAATTTTATGTTTTATAGGGTTTATACGGAGTACAAATTTTATACAGTTATACAAATTGTATAACTGTATTAATTCAACTGTAAACCTAAAAATTTACAGCCAATTTTGAAACAGATGCATCTTAGCTCTGGAAATTGTTATTGAATATGTCAGTGCTGTTGTCATGAAATGCTTTGGTCAGTGTTTCTATCACAGCAACAGAAAAGTGACTAATACAGGTCCCATAAGGCTGAACCACCGGTGACACTGTGGCTATCTCAGCTTGTTTTTGAACAATAACAAAATCACCTAACAATGCATTTCTCAGACTCTGTTTCCACCATTAGGCAAACTACGACTGTAATTTGCCTTAAAAACAGAAAACAACACAGTCAATACCATCTTGCTAAATCTTTGTAACTCACCTTCCCAAATGTTGCTGGGTTGACTTGGTTTTGAGCACTCTGCCCACAGGTCTCCATATAAATCTCATACATGAGGCCTCGAGGCACAGTGAATCCTTCACAAATGCAGAAATTGTCAACTAACCTGCAGAGAGAAAAGGACCAGAAAGAGGAAATTGACAAATGTTTTTCTACAGCTGGTCCATCTGTCAGAACCAATGACCAGACACAGCATGTGCCTGCAGAGGTCAGGAGAGGGCATCAGATCCCCTGGAACTGGTGTTATGAACAGTTGTTAGGCACAATGTAGGAGCTGGAAATTGAACCCAGGTCCTCTGCAAGAGCAGCCAGTGCTCTTAATCACTGAGCCATCTCTCCATCCCCTCATCTAGGTTATTCAGTGGAACTGCAGAAGCTCTTAGTCAGTAAAGAAAATGTGTTCTTTTGTTCTCAAGCCAGTGTTAGGAACACTGATTAATGGTTTTCAGTTATCAACACTGTAAGATTTTGGTTGTTTGTTTGGGAGTAGGCTGCATGTTAAAAAAGGAGCCTAAAGTATTGGACTCAGCAGACACTGTTTCATGAACCTTTCCAGAGGCTAAAGCCAATATCTACCTAACTACAAGGTGGAGAATTATTTACTTGATAAAATGCAAAACAATACCTCAGTGTACAGTCCAGAGGAACCAGGTATGTCAGTATGTATGTTAATTGTACCCAAAGGTGCACAGGCTAACAGCCTAGCCACCAGCTTATGGAGCTACTGGGACATGGTGGGATCTTTAGGAGATGGGACTGGGGTAAGGAAGGTAAGTCATTGGGGTGTGCCGTTGAGGGGGATTTGGGACCTGGGCTCCCCTCCTCTCTTCCTTGTGACTACCATGAGGTGAGCAGCATTGCTCCTCTATGCCCTCCCCATGATGCTCTGCTCTGCCACAGATAGGAACTGAACTAAACTGAAATCTCTAAAGGGTCAGTCAAAATAAACTGTTACTTATTTGTGCTGTTCATATACTTTTGAGGTATAGGGCCATCCATTGGAGTATGGTCAACCTACCAGGAGAAAACTGACTCTCCCTCCCATCAGCAGCCATCAACTGTCCATAGCTCTTCAGTTAGGGATGGGGGCTCACAAACCCCTTCACACTCCATCCTAGAATGTTGATTGACCTGATCTTGTGCAGGTCTTGTGAAGGAAACCACAGTGACTGTGAATTCATGAGTGCAGGGGTCCTGTCATGTCCAGAAGACACGGGTTGTTTTTAAAAAGGACACAATTTTGGAGGTGGGGGTTAGGGAGCTAGAGTGAACTAGAAGGAGTTAAGGAGAGGCGGTAGGGGTTGATATGATCAAAATGCATTGTATGATATTCTAAAAGAATAAAATATTTATTAAAAATAATAAACCGGGGCTGGAGAGATGGCTCAGTGGCTAAGAACATTGGCCATTCTTGCAGAAGACCCGGGTTTGAATCCCAGCACCCATATGGCAGCTAACAACTGTCTGTAACTCCAGTTTCAGGGGATCTGACAGCCTCTTCTGTCCTCCACGGCACTGTATGACACGGGTGCACTTACCTACACGCAGGCTTCCTTTATTAGACTGATTTTCTCAGGTATTATAATGTTTATGTCTCCAATCATAATGCAGAATGGAAGCAAGAAGACTGTAGGTATTAAGGAGTTAGCAGATAGGCCCCAGGGAGTGCAAGCCTAGGAAGCACAGCCCCTGGGAGCACCTGCTACTGTAAGCCTGATCTCTATTTTGTGTGGCTCTGAGGAGATGCTGATCTTGGGGTATTTGGCAGAGCTATGGCAGGTGAACTGCTTATGGTTGACACTGCCACCAAAATGTCCCTGTGTTTTGCTTGAGGTCAGACACCATGGTCCTACCCAGTTAGACTCTGAGGGTACTGTGGGTACACTCTTTCCATTCCCTCGTGCTCCCCAGTCTGACTGCTTCTCTCCATGTCCTGCAGTCCTTCCTGTTCCTGAAGTGGAAACCTCTTATTTTCATTCCGAGACTAGTCAGCATCCCGGTTTCTCTCCTGGGGATGGTTTATCATGTGCAGATGACAATGGCACTGATATCCTAGACAGGTGGGGACCTAACAGACCACTGACCGAAGACAAAGGGTGAAGTCATGCTGAAACCAAATGGCTCTTGTATGTGGCAACAGCGGGGCCCCTCCCTGGTTTCAGACTCCTTAGTTGCCAGAACTCAAGTTCTTGCCCATTGCTGTTCTTCCCTCTGGGCAGCCTGGTTCCCTGGTTCCCTAAGGCATCCTGCAATATCACTCACGTCCCAAAGTTCTATATTAGAAGGTGGGGGTGGTATTTTGAATGCCAATGTTACATGAAATGAAGTTTCCCTGCTCCCTTTCTTGAAGAACGTGAGGACAAGAGGCCTGTATGGGTCTGGAATTCTACATGTGAGACTTGAATCTGAGGACTGACTCCTAAGGTGCAGCCTCTTAAAGTCCTCAGTAGCTTGAAGGGGTTTGGGGCACCTGCCTTGTCAGTTCAGAAACCACCTAGTGAGGACCCTCAGGTATTTTAAAATGTCTAATCATTCTTTCAAATCTCTGCAGCAAAATTCAACCCCCAGAAACTCAGTGGTGAGCTGCAGTAGTTAATAACAGGCTCACTCTGAATCCTTCCCGCTAAGAAGGCCCATGTACCAGGGACCTGGGTTAGATGTTTCATTCAAGATAAGACCCACCTTGAATTTTCTTTTGGAAGAAACTCGTAACCATTTAGGTGTTTGAAAGTTATAATCATGAACATACTCTTCAGATCTGTTTCTCAGGTGCTTTTTTATTTTTTTCCAAAACAAAAACCTTCCCTGAGAAATATGTCTTAAAACTTACAAAAAGAAAAACGTAGGCTGATATACAACAGTTATTCACCTTATAAAATCAAGGTCCGAGGACGGGCTTCAATTATTTTCCTATTTATAAAAGGCCCACAAACTGGAGAGTTCAGTCCCACGGGCTAAGGGAGGCTATCTTCCTTTCTAGTTTTTTTTTTTTTTTTCTGCCTCTATTTAAATAATAGATTTTACAAATAGTATGGAATGCGTTGTTGAAGTTAAAAATTGTTTTGTTTTAAGCTGGACACATACATTCTAGATCTTTTCAAACCAGGAGAAAATGTTTCCTCCCCTGGCCAATGTCCGCCTGCTTTCCAGGTCTACCAATAGGTCCCCCGGTGGAGGGCAGGCTGGATTGCTTCCCGCACCCATCCGACCGGGACATCCAGGTAGACAATCCAATCCTGATGTGGATGCTGGACTGTGAGGACTTTACAGATGTGTGTGTGTGTGTGTGTGTGTGTGTGTGTGTTGGCAGGCGGAGGGAACCGCTGTTCTCTTTCAGTCCTGTCTCCCGCCCCAGCGCAGACCATCCCTCCTCGCCCGTGGCGTTGGCTCCAGGTCCTGGGGGCAGCGACCATCCGCCGCCCCATCCCCGCCTGCAGGAGGGCGCCGGGCCGCTCACCACTGGATGATGTCTCTGTGCAGGCCCCGGCTGGTCGCGCTGCCCACCGGGGAGGCGGGCACCTCCTCCGCCATGGCTCCGACCCGCAGCAACCCCGGCAGCAAGCGGGCGGCGGCGGGACGCGAGCCGGGAAGGCACCGGTCCCGCCGCAGCCGCTCCTCGGCGTTTACTTTAGAGCCAGGAGCGCGAGGGACGCTAGGGGCGCGGGGACCAGGCGGCAGTCAGGCCCACCAGCCGGAGCTGGGGTGCACACTCAACCCACGCCCTGCACCAAGAGGTGCAGGTTGGGGTCACCTACCCCTTGACCGAAGGACTGAAAGATACACTGCGGACCCTTCCCAGCTTTGTTTATTTTAAATTTTATTTTATGTGTATGAATGTTTTGCCTGCATGCCTGTAAGTGCACCACATGAATGCAGTGCCTGTTGGGGCCAGAAGGTGTCAGATCCCCTGGAACTGATGGTACAGATGGTTGTTAGCCATCATGTGGTGGCGGGGAACGGAACTCGGGTCCTGTGAAAGAACAGTCAGTGCTATCTCAGGTCTTAGCTTTGTGCCAATCAATCAGGCCAGGAAGCAGCAAACAAAAACTGCACAGCCTTTGGAATGGGTCACTGTGTTTGATGAGCAAGAGTGTGAAGTCAGGATTGGACTACCCTTGGGAATTATTTGGGTGCTTTTGAAATATACTGCCACCAAAGCAACCCCTCTCACTCCCCCAAGAGGTTCAGTGTCATTGGCCTTGGGTACGGGTGGAGCTTGATGGAAGTTGGCCTAGGAAAATCTGCACCCCGAGCTGTGCTATGTTCCCTGTCACTGAGAACTTGAGAACCGTTGGTGCTGGGCAGAGAGGGGGACCCAGGAGAATCCAGGGTGCAGCTTCGGCTAGCTGCATCCAGCGGTGGAACCCCACCCACCCCCATCCCCAAGCCTGCAGCCAGGCCACAGCAGTTCTCACCCTCCAGAGCCAATTATGTCAATGTGGCTGTTGTGTGTTTTGGGGGATCTGAGGGGCTTGCTCTCTCGGGAAGCTCAATTCTTTCACCCGGAAATAAACGGTTGTATGCAGTTAAGCTGTTCAGCGATGCCGCAGAGCAAGCGCCCAGTCTCACGGGTTCCAGTGGCTGCCAACGGCTTGAAAGTTTCCTAAGGAGTTATCAATCTAGATTAAAGACGCATTTGGCTGCTCAACATTAAACATCACACGCACAACATTAAAAGCTCAGTTTAAAGAGTGGAAGGACATGAATAGACATTTCTTCCAAAGAAGATATGCAAGTGCCTACCAAGCACCTGAAAAGATGCTCAACTTTAGAGGTCAGGGAAATGCATGCCAAAGCTATACCTATTGGAATGACTCTAAAAAAAGAAAAAATATTGGTGAAGATGTGGAGAAACTGAGACCTCTGTTCACTGCTGGGAATGTAAAATGGAGCAGCTGCTGTAAAAAATGCCATGGCCACTCCTCTGAACAGTTACAAAACCATCAGGCAGACCCCACTTCTGGATGTATGCTCAAGCAAGAAAACAAAGGTGGAACCAAGTATGCGCAGCAAGCAGTATTTGTAGCGGCACTATTCATATTAGCCAGCAGGGGAGCCATGCAAGAGTCTTTGGAAGAACAACCAGGTAAAGAAAATGTGGTACTTCTATATTATGGAATGTTATTCAGTCCTAAAAAGTAATGAGTTGTATGAGTCAGAGGACCAGGATGCCCGCTGCTAGGAAATGTCTTCTAGACATGGCAGGGAAGCTGCACTCAAGAAATCTCAACAATATGGTTGCCTAAACAAGACCTGCATAATGACATCAGTTGGCACATCAACATGAATGGGGGAAATTTCACAAGGTCCCACCTTTAGATGAAGAGCTACAGGCAATCAATGACTGTTCAGAGTGGAGAATTGGCTTTCTCCAGGGATGAGTTCCCTGACAGTTTATCCAGTCTCAAAGGGTCAGCCCTAAACATGAAGCAGAGCAACACTAAATGGACATAGGCTGTGTGTGTGTATAACATATATGTGTATACATAAATGTAACAATAATAACTTAAGAAGTCAAGAACCAGGCAGAACCCTGTGTATTTAAGAGGGAGTAGGGGCAGTATGGGAGGAGTTGGAGGCATGGACATGATGTAAATACATTACTGTCTGGGGTCATGAAAGGTTTTGAAGATGCGTAGATGATAGTAATACAACAATTCAAATGTACTGTCACTGAGTTGTACAATTTTAAATGGGTAAAATGTTAACTTTTAAGTGATCTATATATTATTAGTTTTTGAAACAATCCACCCCCATACACACCTATTTGAGAGCCACTTCTGAAAGCCAAGGAGAGATTCCTTCAGTAAATGAAAGTGTCAGTTGCTTGGCACATGGGAGCACTGGGCATGCACCGAGTACACCCGGGGTCTCCCTTCCAGGGGAACGCCATTGTCAGGGATAAGGTTTCAAGGCAGTTCCAGAGAAGAAATTGCAGGACACTCAAGGAGGAGGAAGTTTCACCCTGAAGGGTGACCAGGTCACTGGGACTGATCCAGGGTGGCATCTGGCCCTTCCCTGGGGCACTGCACTGGGGTTCAGTCTGAGTCTGTTAGTGGTGATTTGTCCCTTGGCACTCCAAAAGGAGCTCTGTGATTTTCTAGTGTGTTTTGCCCAAGGGTTCAAATCCTGCTTCCTGCAGCAGGGCAGGAAAACAGAGGATGTGGTTTCTCCCCATTCCTTATGCTGCTCCTGTCCAGCTCCCTTTCACCCAGGCAACCTCTCAGGACACCCACTCGTGTCCCCAGAGACTGGATATGATCAAGGCAAGAGCCTATATTTGTCACTCAAGATCCTGTTACCACATGGTTGGCTGTGTAATATTTGCATGTGCATTGAGCACCAGTAAGTTTCAGGCATAGGAAAGGACTTTGAAAATACAAATGACACCATGGCCCTTGACTACTGGTTTCTGCTAATTGTTGCTTCCAAAGCTGAGAAGCTACAAAACACAGCATTACCTCATCTTTGCCCAGAGCTACCAAGACCTATCAGTTAGAAGACTCTAGAGTTGAGGTAATGGGGTCAGTTTTGCACCTTCCACTGTAAGGGCTTGTCAATTTCAGGTGTCACCTGTGCCCCTAATATGACCCCATCTTATAGATTCAGACATTATTAGTTACATGTAACACAATAACATTCTTAGATTTATCCTCAGCTTATGCCTTACCAGCTAAATGCGCAAAGGACATTTACCTCCACACATGACTTTTTATCAATAGGATATTCGTGGCTTTTATTAGAGTCAAACAAACAACCAAATAGATGCTAAATAAAATGAAGTATAAAATCACTTTCATTTCAAAGAATGATTAATTGCAACTGATATAACAGAACTTCCTCCTGTAGCTGAAGAGACAGCCTGACCCATGTCTGGGACTCTCTGTATCATCTAATACCGGCGAACCTGAATGTTCTATCAAATAGAATCCCAGTTCTTCATATCCTGTCTTAATGCACACACTGCCTTTTCTCCCTCTCCTGGAGAAGGAATCACTTTCAATAGTGACTTCTTTTTTTTTCCTTTAGGCTAATTGGTTTCTAGATTATCCAATTAGTCTCAGTTCATCTTCTGAGAGGGTACCAGCTGTGCTTTGTCCGCTCACAAAATCACCTCTGATGATCCAGGGTGCTTAATTTCATTCACTTCTTGCAATTATTCACGTTCTGTGGATGGACCCAGGTGTCTTCAGGCAGTGGATGTGTTTTTAAATAACGTTAATGAGCACATGGAATGCATTGGGCCAGAAATTCACAACACGGCTGGCAACTGCACAGAGGGCATTGCAGAGAACAGACAACCCACATAGTCCATCTGGGCCTGCAAGGCGCTGTTGAAACCAGTAGGCTCTAGACTTCCAAATTATCTTGGAGTGAAATGCTCTCACTGGAGAGATTCAAAAATCACCCTTGTATGTTACAATTTTCCTTGGTGGTCTGCATTTACCTTTTGAGTATCTGGATACCATTCCAACTGAAATTGATAGAAATACTGCACTCGTGGGAAGGTATGCTAATGCCTATACCCTCCTTTGGAATGGGGTGGGAGGGAGGGACTCACTAGGTTGCCCAGGCCAGCTCTTATGCTCAAGTGACCATCCTGCCTCAGTCTCCTGAGTAGCTAGGCTTCAGGTACATGAGACAATGCCTGAATTACAATTCATTTTGTAACTGAAACCTGTAATTTGGGGCACCGTGGAGACACCCCCTTGCATAGAGGTTGCTCTTGCCTTCCCAGCTTTCCTTTCCCTGTTCCCACAGGTCACATGGAAAGCTGGCTGCCTGTGGTGTAACAAACAGAATTATCTTCAGAGGAACTCAGGGAACGTGTGGAATGAGGAGAAACAGCCCCCATTTGTCACAGAATGCAGAGCAAATTACAAATCCTAAAGTAATACACTTGAACTCTGCTACACTGAAAGTAGATTTTTCTGAAAGTCTGATAGAAAAATCAAGCAAAATGAAAACAAAAAGCAGTTTCCTTTTCTTCACAAGATTAGCAGTAACTTAATAAACTATCTTGATAGAGTGTCAAATAAGGGAGGCAGTTGGGCACAGTTCCAAATTATAACTTCTTGCAAAAGCATAAATCTTACCCTAGTTCATTAAATACTTTTTAAAGAATTGGAAAAATCACATTAGTTCATTACTTTAGATTTGGGTAAAAATTATTTTGAAGGTTTTTACCGGTATGTGGGAATTATTTTGTAAAGGTAGGTTTCAAATGGTAGCATTAGCTGGCTTTGAGCGTGACAGATCTTCATCAACCTTCCAGAATTTGGATCGCTCTTTGGCATAAACATACCCAAACAGCTGCTTGCTCCCGTCACCTGGCAAGGAATTGTTTCCTCATAGTATCTTCACTGTGAAATGAATTTCACTGAAGCATCTCCAAAACAAACATGTTTGAGGTGTCTTCCTAAAAAACAGCAGACCTGAGCCAGGCCTGGTGACACATGCCTTTAAACTCAGCAATTGAGAGGCAGAGGTAGGTGGATCTCTGTGAGATTGAGGCCAGTCTGGTTTACATA